TCCACATCCAGCCAAAACCTCCACCCTGCACTGCTGCCACTCTGCATCTGGCTGCCCCGACCCCCCAGCCACTACTCCGTGTCCAACTGAAAACCACCAGCCTCAGATAACTGGCATTTTTAGATACCCAGCACCCTCATTCCCCACTTGTGCAAGCTAACAGGGCTTTTACTGTACATTGTCTATCATTAAATGGTTGCTAGAAGCATGTTCTCAGTCATGGAAACTAACTGTGAAGTTAATTAAATGTAGGCCATGCTAAGCATAAGCATAATACAGTAGTTCTCAACCTTTTTGTACCAGGACCCATTTGTAAACATCGATGGCCAATCCCCACCCAGTGCCCCTCACTCCCAACCTGCTGCCTCTTGCCCCCAGGCCCCAGCCCCTCAGTGTGGGGGGCAGAGGGGTCTCAAGCAGCCCCTTGCAGGCTGGAAATCTGACAGCCTGCAAGGGAAAAGCCACCATTTCCCACATTTTTCACCTTTAAAGGAGAATCCATTTTTTAAGTTTGTTCGTGACCCTTTCATATATTTCTGCAACCCACTCTTAGGTCGTGACCCAGGGGTTGAGAAATGCTGGAAAAAAACATCTGACCCATACAGGGCAAACACACTGATGGGAACCCACCACAAGACTAGGTTAGTGCAGCCTTTCATAATAAAATATAGGGCCAATTGTTCTCAGTCCCTCAACACCAACTCTTTGTCAAGTCATAGTGAAAAATTCCCTCAAATATATTTTGATTTCCTCTTCACTCCTACAGCTCAGCAGCACCTGCCTTTCCCATTTCCAATTATTCCTGTTTCTTCATGAGCCTTAAATGTCTGGCAAGCATCACCAAACTTCTATGTAGCTGAGAGTCTGTTCCCCTCTCTTTGTGTGTCACATGGGATTAGTATGGCCCCATCCTCAATGGAGTGGAGATGGAGTAAGGAGCCTTGTGCCTCATCTGCATACACATTTTTGGAGGGTCCTTGTGACAAAAACACCTAGTTCCAGTTGCAAGTCGGCGGGGGGGAGGAGGAAGGCCTAATTAGCACATGGATCCGTTGCGGGGAGTATCTGGGGTATACATATGGAGCAATGCTGGGCTGTGGGGTCACCATGGCTTGATATGCTATTGACTCTGCTGGGGCCCAGCCCAGGAAACCATATGGTAAGTCATGGGCCTTTGGGCACTGGATTAACAACATGCAGAGTTTGTACTATGTATAAGTAGGCACAAAAGTCCTGCTCAAAAGTATGTTTACGGAGTACTTGTGTTGAAATTTGCAGCAGTCTGTGACAAGTTAAAATGCATCATTTGACTATTTCCCCAAGTCTGAGTCAAGGTCAGAGACAGGCCCACAGCAGTCTCCTGTTCCCCCCAGATTGCCCTCTGAAGCTTCTGTCTCCTCTCTGTTGCTTTCCTCTCCCTCCCCACCTTACTGTCACTTGCAGCTCACTTCCACACTGTTTGTACTCAGGAAGGGAACAGAGCCTGACAAGGTGGCCAGAGCGGGGGAAGGGGAGGGGAGGAGAGGAGGAGGAAGGCTACAGGGGGAAGAATATGGTGGTGGGGGGGCGCAGAAGACAAGGGAGCTGATGCAGTAAAATACGCTAATCGGACTTATTTAATTAACTGGTCATGAGAGGGTAATAACTACTCCATAGAAAAATAGTTTAAAAATTTGCTAAGGAGAGGCTTAATTTTGCTTTTGTTAAAGTCACAAACAGTTTTATTTTCATGGCACTGAGTGAAGAACTAGGTCTGCAGAATTTATATTGTGCAATGTTCTAAATTTGAATACACTTTATTCATTGATCAACTAGTAAATTATTTAAACTGTTTTCAAAATAGAAGTTGTTAATGTGCTGCACATTTCATATGCTCTAATCTAACTTCTTCCAGCTCAATTTTTAGATGCAGCTTCTAAGCACAACCAAAACATCACATAATATATGCTACAGAAGGGAAGGCTATCCTTTGCAGTTGAAAAATTAAGATGTTTACCGTTCCTAGTCTGACATATCTCCCAGAAGCACTGGTAATTGGGCGAGCAGTGTGGGCTGTTCTAGGAGTTTTTATAGCCTGTTCCATAGTGCCTGGCCGTCCACCTTGTGTGCTGGGTCGCACAAACCCAGTAATAGGTCTTCCTGTCTGAGTCACTGGCCTGAAGATAATGAAAAATGTTAAAACAAAGAAGATTAAGCAAATGGATTTATTTTTCAAACCACCCTATCAGTAAAGACAAATTACATATTTAAACCTGAAGTTGTGTAATTTATTAAATATTTTACATTAAGGAGCAGCTCCAAAACTTAATAAATTTACCAGTTTAATCTGCCAAAGATAAGGAACTACATACCTAACAGCTGGACTAGGACCACCCCCCTGACTGGTTCCAGGGAGTTTCAAAGAAGTTCCTGGACCTACAAAATAAGAGTGTTATTACTTAGCATTGTTTTACAGGTGAAAAGGATCATGGCACTTAAAAATAGATAATGAAGATATGATACCTGGGCCAGAGATCTTACAATTTGTAATGGGAAAGGAAGTGGGAAGAGTTGATGTCATAGGAGACAAGAAAGACTACATACTATAATTATAAGGTTTTTTGTTTTACAGTAAAAAATCATTAATTTTGCTAAATCAGTTTATGGTCCAGGACAGTAACTGTCAAAATTATATGGAAAAGGTAGAGTTTGAGGAGAGATATGAAGGCAGAGGGAACTTGTTTGACCTAAACAGTTACATATGATATTCCAGATCTTGAAGATGTAATAGCTAGTTTGTGGACTGTGCTCCTTATACATACCAAAGCCTTTACTAGCCCCTTAAGAAATTTCAGGGTTACCAAAATGACCTTTATGGGGGTGGAGAGTGAAGGGACAAGATAGCTGCCAACTGTACCCTGATTTAGCTGAGAGCTAGATCCGTGCTCCTCAATACCAGAACATAATCCAAGATGGAAGGGAGGACTGACTGAAAAGAGACCTTATGCCTAACACACTACAGAAAAACTTTACTATTTTACTATGTAGACACATTTTGTGGAAATTTTTCTGCATGTGTGAGACTGTCAGACAGTCCTGCTCCAGCTGTGAGG